CTGTAGTCACGCTTAATCATAGAGCGGATCTCGTCGACACTTGGAGGTGAAATGTTCCTGCGGCGAATGATTGTCAATCTGTCAATACAGCCTTTTCGCATCACCAAGTCCACTTCATTTCCCGTAATTCTTAACTGCAACATTTTGCGACGGAGCGCTTGCTCGAAGTGAAAAGGGCATTCCACAATTCTTGCCTCTGGAAATTGATACTGTACAGCCTTAATCACTGCAGCTGCAAAGTCACAAACGAGCGCCGGGGTCAATTTTTGCTTTGAGGAGACGCAAATGTTGCTGAACAACCGATTGTACACTTGGGACGTTTTCCAGTCGTTAGTATATACCAAACTGGCAAATATAGCTCGGAGATGGAGTCATCGATCATCACAATTACCAGTTGGTTAAAAGGTGCTGGCACACATCGGTAGGTTGCATTGACAAAAATTGAGCTCTGGCGCTGCTTCATACGGTCCATGAGATGGAGGTGGAACCAGCCGACCAGTCGATGCCGTACTTCGTCTTCGTAGTAAGTCACATTAAATTGGAAAGACTTGAATCCACCACTCTCTTCAACGTCACAAAGCGATTCTTGCTCCAGCCGACCAAAACTCTCCCTTCCAAATTGTTTCGCTCTGGAACGATATAGTCGACCCAACAATTACTTTTGAGTTGCACTTCGGACTATTTCGTTGTCACCTCCGTCGAATTTGTCCCGGACCATGCGCCATACTTCGGTGGGAGTCAGCGTGACACCACGGACACAAACTTAATCCGTTGCCACCATCTCTTCCATACGATCCGTGATTGTTGGAGCTGGCCCAACGGGAGCCCGACGGAATTGAGGAACACAATTGGACATGTGCGCTCCAGCTTTAACAGCACCGAGGTCACTCACATACAGCTTTCCTTTGCATTTGGTGCGGCGATAGGCACTGCATCAATAATGAGTAATATCATTGTGGAAATGGTACCGAGCGTAGGAATAGCCGCGGAAATGGACACTTTTCGTTCCCAAAGTAGCAACGGGACGATTGTCAGGTATGGCTTCGGCTTGAGATGTCACTTCAAATCGATGGCCATCATTCGCTTCATTCTCGGAGTCTGATGGTTGGCTCGGAGTCATCCGACGGTGCGTCACAAAGGTCAGATCCGTCGAACTGGAAAGGGTTGGTTATCGGATTGTCGGAGGCGTAGGAAGAGTCCATGGTGCTTGGTACTATGGGTGTTGTTGATGTCCTTCGAACTTGGTTTATCCCAAAGTGCCGCCTTTGGCACGCTAAAGGTATCGGCTACATTAACGGCTCTGCAGCTACGATAGTATGACACGTATTAGCGAGCAAGCACAGGACTTGGCGTATGTACGATGGGAACACGAAATGACGCACAGAACTTTCGAAAGGCGGTCCACAAACAAAAACGACACCAGGATACGAGGTAAGAGGTGGTTTATATGTTTCTTTACTGCATAAATACTCACCTGATTAAAGTGATGATGTTTTACTCAAAATTGACCACTAAAATGGTCAATATTCCATTTCGATCGCAATTCGACCCAAAACAACGTTGACTCAATTTAGACCTGCGCAGTGGGCGCCCCATATAAAGGCTATCGTTTTGGACAATGGTAGCAACCGACTGCCTGACCAAACGTTTGACTACGCACTTAAGCTGCTGCGTGACTCGGTGACCGGAAAGAAGCACTTTCTGCTGGTCAGCAATTGTGAAGAGGATTTAGTTGCTAGTGCCGTTGTGAAAAGACCAGCATTTACACAAAAGAGCATGTGGAGCAAATGAAGTGGCTGTAAAATCTGCAGGATACACGTCATCATGGTGTGCTGCTGTACACTTGGCTGAGCAACAACGTGAAGATCCTGGTGGATGCACCTGTGGTTGTTAGTGTGACATTTGACGTCTTCTTGAAAACTTGGTCATGCATGAATATATTCGACATCGCGACGCTGATCGCTTCTGCATCCAAGGCTCGACGTGGTTAAATGACGCCACCATGCGTAACTTTTGCATTTTTTTAAATCGTACAAGAGCAACTCGACGGTGACGATACCGCCGTTAAGGAGAAATCGCTAAAGAAGCCATCCACGGCGGAGCCGGTGCTCGCGGAGCAGCAGCGACAGCATGTTCGCAACAGTTAGGCCAGTTTGTGTTGATGCCAATCAACTTGAGTGGCACCCTCTGGGTGTGTTTTGTGACCAACGGAACGTCTAAGAAGATTCATCTGTATGACAGCATGGACTCCACCATGTACCGGAAGCACTCGACGACCATTGGGGCTGAGAATGTAGCTGCACTTCCGGAAACGTATTACAAGATCACAGTCTAAGGACCCCTGCGGCAGTATGGCGATAGCTGCGGTTTAATTGTGTATTTCCAGCAATGGAAGACGATACCGGTCGAGGTGCCAATGGACGTGTCTAAGTCTGGTATAACCAAGCTGCGTTGAAAACTTTTGCAAGCGATTTTAAAGGCTAAGCGCCGCTTGAGGTTAAAGAAAAGGATGTATACTGGAGATTGGCCAATAGTACCTGGTATTTACCTGGATAAAACCTTTTTTAAATGTTTTCATACATCTCTCTAGCAGTAATCTCGAATGCCAGCAATGCACGTCTTTCGTCACTTTGACTTTCAATCGTTTTATTGTGCCTTTCTGCCAAAACGCCTTCAGTTTTATGATCCTACGTAAGGGGATGGCCCTAACGGAAGGCCTCCTATCTGATCGGGTGCATCCGACTAAAATTTAGCCGAACGCTTTGGCGAAAAAAAAGACAATGCCAACCAAAGACATATCTGGCCAGACCACGCGTGTTTTCTCAGGGAGGACCTAAACCATAGCAATACCTTACAACAAATTAACAAGGTAAGATGTAGCAGTCACAAAAATGATATTGTACAATAGCTTCCATCCTTTGAAGTTTCACCGACAATCACGATTTGATCTGGAAAGGCAATAGCCTGTTCACATACTCTTGCCTCGCCAGCGTATGTCTGATGAGTAGCCCATATTTGATTTAAAATCAATCTGTTGTGGATACCTTACGTAAGGGTAAATGGCCGGCAAATACTGTCCATTCAACCCTTATTTGTTAAAAGGTACCCTTTAGACCAAGTCGGATACCTTACGTAGGGCCTCCGCAATCAAGTATTATTGGATCAAAGTCGGCAAAATCAAACAGTTTTATTGGTCAAATATCATTTTATTTAGTGGCCTGGCCCAGTTATACCATTTATGCCGGGACAAGTTATTGCGTATTTCAATGCTTGTGTCCTTTTCACTTAGCCTGGTGCTCGATTTATAATAAATTAAGGTCGTTTTATTAAATCGAGGTCTATAAAAAATACAATTCAATCTACTAGTAACTAGGCTGCCTGATAAATCGAGCTACGACAGCCAAATCGACCGCTATTTATAGGGATCAATCCGCCAACAACTCCGCATCAATATTCGTGAATCGACCCTTTTTGCCGCTTTGAAACGGTAATTCGATCACAGATAAAATAAATCGATGCTTGCCTCTTCCCATCTCAATTTTACGCGTGGTTTTATGCTCCGACCATGCTCGATTTAGGCTGTATTGTGTCTTTTGGCCAATCTGACCGTTAAAGGCTGGTCCTAAGCAAGGGTGGGTAGGGCTAAAGGTGGGATTTGAGGACGAACTGGAGTTGAATTGCTAAAAAATAATGGGGCAATACATGTATAATACCTGAATCTGAATAGTCCTAAGCCTAATTACGTGTCTGGGAGACTCTATTGCCTGCCGTGTTCAGTTTGGCTCTATAGTTATTAGGAAACCCTGTCGCCCCCCCTCCCTTCCAGATCCCAGAGTTTTTTTATAGATAGCCGTCTAGTTAGTAAGTACTCCACCGGACTCCTAGCTTAAGCCTTATTATTACGTAGTAACAGCAGGCAACGAAGGAGCACACATATACACGTATATTCGAGGCCAGACAGTCCCACACGCGTCCGGCTGGAGGGCTGACTGGGTTACTGAGCTACTCTAACAATTGCGATGTGTGACTCAGAGTCACTGACTCTAACCACTAGCCAATGTGTTAGAAACGATCTTCTAACTTCCGCTACTATTAATAAGAGTATTAGTATCAAAAACACCAGTGCTGACACTGCTGGGCTGTGATCACCCGTCCTTAAGTAGCGAGGCTGTGCAGAGAGAAGTGCACCCGATGCTATTATTGTAAAAATTAACAATATTCCGACATTTCTTTGTCCTTCCACGTTCCAACTACCAATTAACGTATAAGTAGAGGTTATTATGGTGCTGGCACTGCCAGCCTGGCAGTATCGAATGAGCTGTTAGCCTCGCGTAATATCAGCACCAATCTCTGACTAGACAAATCCATGGGCTCCGAGTAGAGCTTATAATACGGGCACACCATCCACGTATAGTCTTCCTTACGGATGTTGAAGCCGAACGCGCTTCCAGGATATGGTAATCTCGCAATAAATCACCCCGTCGCTGTACGTCGTCTATTTTCGAGGTTATTATTCACTTCTTATTTTCGGACCGCTTCGTTATGGTACTCACCATGGCCAAGCCATCATCAAGTACGTCAGCAACTCCAAGTCAAAAGTGACGAGGTGTCATCTACTGCGCACGTGTCAAGGGGAGACGCAATCACACCTCGACCGCTACGCTCTTCACGATGACGGACTGTAGCCGCGTGTCTGCAGCCTCATAACTCAAAAGTCGCAGCAAGACTCAAGTCCTCACCAGCACCACAATACTACAAACTACACCAAGTTCGCTATTATCGGAGCCGGTGGCGTCGGCGGTACAGTCGCGGATGAGCTGCTCAGGAAGGGCGACGCAGTGTCCGTCGCTATCCTCACGCGTGACGCGTCCAAGCCGGAGCTGCAGGCCTTGAAGGCTCGTGGTGCCACGCTGCACCAGGTTTCGTACGAGGACGAGGACGCCGTCAAGAAGGCGCTCAGCGGCAGTGAAGTGGCTGTCAGCACCGTGTCGCCCTTCAACATGGCAGTGCAGAAGGACATCGTCCCTGCAGCCAATCCAGCTGTTCGTGCCTGCCGAGTACGGCGTCAAGGTGACGGAGGGCCCGAACGTGACCAAGAAGGAGGTGCAGGACCTGCTGACACAGCACCAGATCCCCTTCACTATCTTCTACACGGGTCTCTTTGCCGAGTTCCTGCCCTTCTTCCTGGACTTCCACTACGACGAAGGCTACATGAACGTGGTGGGCAAGGGCGAGACGGCCTTCAGCATCACGGCGCGCACGGATGTGGGTCGCTTCTTGGCTCACGTGCTGTCCACGGCCCCCAAGAGCGCACTGGAAGGCGCCAAGATCCCGTTCGAGGCCGAGCGTCTGTCGCCTCTGCAGATCCGCGACCTGGTGGAGAAGAAACTGAACAAGAAGATCAAGATCCGCCACGCCGACTACGAGGAGAACAAGAAAAAGTTCGACACGGACTTTGCGGCCTTCCTCACGACCCTCTTCGAGGAAGGGCGCGGTGTGGCCGGCACGGAGCAGGAGGTGCACGAGAGCGTGGCCAAGTTCTTCCCAGACTGGAACCCGGCTAAGTACGAGTCCTTCATCGCGTAATCATCTACGAAGAGAAGGAATTATCAACACTTAAGCAAATAACAATTTCGATTTGCAAGGACAGAAATTTACAAAAGCTTCGCGTCATTTTATTAAATAGCAGTGTCAAAGAGCAGCTTGTAAACCAGTTTACACAAAACTAATCTATTTACATTCCGCTTTTTTTTTAATAGCTGTTAGGCGGCCTCTTATCCGTTCGTGTAATTAAAGCGTTCATTGATGTTTGCTCAATGCCAAGCATAACTCTCTCACTCACTTGGCATAACGAAAGCTCGTGTCACGTACTGTGGCGTAGAATGAGGTGGGGCAACAGGGCGAAGTTCGAGGTGAGGCCGACGCCAATGGTAGGGCCTTTAAAGCCGGAAATCCCCTCGAAGCAAGGCGACAAAGTAGAAACAACCGGGCCACACCGTCTGTTTCGCGACTACGAGATCTCGTACAGAACGTGTGCGTCATCTTCCTGCTGGTGTTTCTATGTATTAGTTTAATTCCGTTCAAGGAGTACTACCTCGGCAGCTACGTCACTATTAATAAACCGTTCGACGAGATCCGAAATGAAGTTGCAGCACGGGAACTCAACCAACTGGGCGTCGTCATCAGTGGCGTGCACTATTTCGACACGTTCGAGCGAGCTCTCTTCCCTCTCGTCGACTCGAACACCAGGACAAACCTCGCGCGTTCTACTGCGTCCAGCCTCTCTCTTACAGATCTCCTGGTCCGCGCCAATGTCCGGAGAGACAATCTACTTGCTGGTTTGCCGGAAGAAACCTTGGAACAACCGGTAGATCTCATGGTTGACGTTCTGGCGCCGCTGTGTGGACCCAAAGAGTCGTGGGACACCGAACCGCAATTATTGTTGGCAAATGGTTTCCTGCTATTCGTCACGAATTTTGTCAGGATTTCCACGCCAAATTCCCTCTCGATCGATTCTTTAATCACGGGAACAAAGCTCCTCTTGATACTAATGTGTCGTCTGTTGGAAAAGCTACACTTGGCTTGATTGCTGTGGTCAACATGTCGGAGATTTACTTACGTCACTTTAACGACGAGATTGTGGTCCGTAAGATAATGAAAAACGTGCAAGAAGGATACATGGGCTTGGAGTTGCCAGAGTACACTAACTCTGTTGCAGAGGCAATAGTTGATCGTTATAGTAGAGGGATGTCGTTGAGGGATGTGATTAAGTTGCTAATCGGTTCATTCGACGCGGAGCATGTGGCTTTGGTGGACGTGCTGGGTGTTCGTGCTCTTCTCGAATATTATCTGGACACCCAGCAACTTACCATGGGCCTTAACGTGAACGGAGAGGCTGCGATTCTGGCGGAAGTGACGCACGCCACTGCGTCGTTCTTCACGTCGGATTTTCTGATCAATACCGCTGGGATGCATCTAGTCTCGACGATGCACTTGGCGGCGTTCTGGCATTGTGCCATCAAACATACTACAATGGCCAAGTCCATTACAGTCGACGACGTCGATGCTGCCGCTATCAAACAGTGCGGGCGTGACGTATCGGTGATCGTCCCTACGTTCGCTGTGAACTTGATGTTTCTATTCCAGAAAGACGATCGAGACTATACAAAGCTAGATAATACCACCGTGTACACTCTTGGTCGACGTCGCGAGACTACTGCGGGGTATGTGGCGCTAGATATTCCTGAAAGGCTAACAGACGCGCCACTTCTCTTAATGAATGGCAATGGGTGGACCAAAGATCGAATGTCCACGCCATCTCAGCCAGTTTGGACGCCGTATGGATACCTGTACACGCCAGATTGTCGAGGTCTTGCCGACTCAGTGATGCAACAGGGCGGTCGAAACGTGCAGAAATACCAAGCCTACATAGGAGACGGTCTCGGTAATTGCGCGTTCCGAGATTCGCAGGAGACTGAGCTTCAGACGCTCTGTCGACTCTTCATGACGAGCAACGAGGTGGTATTCCGAACTCTCAACGGAAGTCTTATCGACCTTCCAGCGTGTGCAGCTCTGATCTCGCCCAGTAGTACACCCGAGAACCAATTACTACCTTTAATTACCACCTTTGCCAATAGTGTAAACCAAAACGGAGTGAAGTAACCGAAGTAACATCTAAATTTGAGGAATAATTTTACAAAATTAGTTTTTAGAGCAATGTAGATTTAGTGTAGTGCAAACTGGCAAGAACGACACATCCAGCAATACGAACTACGGGCGCGCTGCGGACTGGGGTACACACAAAGATGTAAGGGGGCGTGAACCTGCGTATGGGCGCCAGACACGAGAGTGTGGGTGCACACAGTGACCTCTCAGCTTGTACAGCCTGCATAATTATCGATAGAAGGACCAAGACGGCCAGCAACCCGATTACATAGACAGAGTACATCAAGGATGAGAGCTTTGGGCTGCGCTTGCAGATGTTAACCGGCCGTGGGGAATGGAAGGAGAGGGGTTGCAGCTCTGAGTTTGCGTCTCAAAAACGGCGCATCAGCGATTGACGTGCCATCAAGCGCTCGTGTTGGGGCTCCTTGCCTGGACGGTCAGCGTTAAGAGGAGTTCGTACACTGATAACGGCGTCCGGTGCGGGGCGCTCGTGGCTATAGCCAATGCACTAATGTAATGTACGTGGTGCATGTGCAGTACTGTAAAATGATAAAGTATTTCTTGTTCGAAGGTCGCCTCGATAAGAGTATCTTGTCTTCTACAGGAAGACAAGATACTCTTATCGAGGCGACCATTGAACAAGATATACTTTATCATTTTGCTTTACACTAAATCCGTATTGGTCTGGATTAATTTTGGGGATTTCTAATTTTTTAAAAAAATAAATTTCTAAATAAGGGACACTTCGTTTTGGTTTACACTACCACCAGTTTGGATTGGCAAAGGTGTAGAGCAAGACAACTTGCGTCAGATCGAGTGGTTCATGGTCGATACCACCCTAATCGACCGACGAATCCAGGACAACACGAGTCGACAGATCCGAACATTCCTTCTGATTCTCAACTTAATTGGGGCCTCCTACTACGCTGTCGAGTACCTCTTTATACTCAAAAGCGTCTGGGTTTTCATCTTTAACAGCGTCTATCGACCTGCAACTGAACCTTACGAAAAAGACGCTCCCCGCCTCATACGACTTGGACTACTCGAGCTGCTGCAGTGCGACCCAGCAGACGGCGCACTGCAACATCCGGGCACGATGGTATTACTGTACCTTGGCGCTATTGGAGCGCTCAGTAATATTTTCTCGCTTGGATGCTCGGCGCAACTCTCGACTGCAGAGGGGAGTATCGTTATCCAGTGCGCCCCAGCTATCCCACTACAGAGTCTTACGCTCGTGTTCACGACGCTGAGCAGCAGCTATTGGGTCATTCGCATCACCCTGCATACGCGATCCCTTGCGATGCGTCTGGATCATGCTGCACGCAGTGACTTCGTCCGCTTCTGGGCGTTGAACGCTGCTGCAGTACTGGCGATCCATTTTACGTGCAAAGTTGGAGCCGATCTGGTGCTTCGAAATACAAAACTACACTCCGATCCGCATCTATACGCCATCTTCGGTGGCTTGGCAGTGGCTCTCATCATCTCGTCGGGATTTCTGTTGCTTCATATTGCAACAACGGACTCAACGCGGCTGCGAGGAATGGTTCGGAGAACTTCCAGTACCGTATGGACTGAGATCTTGTCACGCGAGCGAAACGACCGCTCTTTCGTGACCAAATGGAGCACCCGTGGTCTCGACTCGGTGTTGTATCACTGTGCAACGCCACAGATTGTACGGCAACTGGAACGCTTTAATACTCGACAGCGACAAGAAGTCAGTAGTTTCCTCAAACAATTTAAGGACAAACAGTCGAATGGGATTCGAATGCATCAGTTCGTCGCTGTGCACTGCGCCGCAGGGTCACACGCACATTTAAAAACGGTCAAGTGGTGTGTCTGAGAATGGGCAGGTGGCGTCGCGAACGTGAGCAAAGCGCATGTAAAGTTGTAGTTGGGATGAGCAAAGAGCCAGAGTAACACAATCGTCCATAAAAATTATAATACTGGGCGTGTGGTTGTATTGTAGTACATGTACTGTGTGTGTGTATTTTTTTTAATAAAATATTGCGATACTACCTACCACGTTGACTGTATAAAATAATTATAAAGTGGAGACATAACGCGGTCATGTTCGTGGGCTGCACCATGATTTCCTGTCGTACAAGTATTAATAACAAGTGCACTTCATTGTACGTTAGGTATTTTAGCTACTTTTAAATAAAGTAACTTCGACTGACGCAGCATACTTACTAACTAAATAAAATCAAGTTTGTGGCTGTACAAAGTCCGCAACACAATTCTTACACTAAACGGAGAGAATTGATCACGGACTGGTAATCTATTGCATTATTTATAGGTTGCCAGCTCATAGGGAATCTGATTCTTGCCTTTGCGATGACTATTTATTTAATTTATTATTAGCACACAAATTCTTGCCCTTGCCGTTATGAAATACATATTCTTTGAAGAAGGTACAGTACTTTAGAATGTCGACCAATCTTTACTCGTTATATACTGGTCTGGTATACACCGCAAGACAGCATTTTCTGCGTCTGCTTCGCAGCCGATGCTGCCAGCATCAGCTTCATACATGTATGCGTGTAAAGGACGGTAGAATAACGTCCAGTGTTGATGGCCACACGCCAGTAATCTGCGAAAGATATCTCTGGGGATGTACATCGGCTGCCGGCGACATTACCCTACACCTCCGATTGCCACCACTTCTTCTTGAGGTGCCCCCAAAGTTGTCTATTGAGTACGTACTCGCAACAAACAAAAAGCACGAGAACTAAACAGCGCGCGATCAAGGAGACTTTGAGTCTTCGTGACTGGTACGGGTTTAGTGAAAGCAACCGTGGTTCTTGAGAAAGTCAATATTCATGGTCTTTCTTTTAGGTTTTAGAAAATTTAATGAAGAAATTTTTCATCAAAACCTGCTCTCTAAATATCGCCGGTACCGATACTGCTACCAATGGTACAAGTAGACTACCATGCCGGCTTCAACAAATTACATGTAGCATGATTTAAGCTGTCCCAGCCTTTCGGGCTATCCCATTAAAGCTTGATTCTCGCTGCTGACGATTTAACACTCTGATCTGTTGGGAAACGTGGGTCTTAAAAATGCCGACTTGGATAGTAGGCTCCTATCCTATTAGGAGTTACCGCTGGAGATGCTTTGATGACCGACAGAACATGCTAAACACATGCATTTACGGCTTCAACACACAGCAAATCATTTGACCTGACTTCTGTATTGTTTTGACCTTCTGAATGTCGCAATAAGACATAATCGACGATTAGAGCTCACAGCATAAAAGAGACCAGCCGCGCTTCGCTTGGCTGGGCGCCCGTTCGGCGCCCCCGCGGTTCGCTGTCGCTCGCAATATGGAGATACTGTAGAATGTACTGGAAAGTGTAGTGCTCGGCTCGCTGGTGAGCTCAGCGCTGGGCCCGCCTCGCACCCGCTCACCTTAGCTGGCGCCGCGGCTATGGCAACCACGTCGCCCAGCCTCGTGTGTGTTATCCCAGCGGTGAGCGTGTGTTTCTACTATAATCTGCTGATGGCCGACCTGCAGGCGCTAGCAAATTTTACGATCGAGGCGAAGGTCCATCAAAGAGGCCGTAGCTGGTCGGTCTCTGAACACGGAACAAGACTTGTTTTATAAGCTATTGTATCTTTGTTGAAGCTTCGTAAAATTGGATTGTTTACCGACGAATCGGCGCTAAAATGACTGAGCAAACCGTTGACCGGGATTCCACGTAGCGAATATTTTAGGTAGACAATTTAAATTCTGTCAATAGTTACACATGCCATTCAGGCTTTAAGAATGAACCTTACCAAATTTCGGTTACTACCTAACGAATTGAGTAAAGTCGAATATCGGTAAGAACTAGCGTCAAATATGTAGAAAAAACTCAACAACCGGCAAAATTTGAAAGACGATCGCCAGTGCTCTTAGACTTCAGTGATGTCATGACATCACTGATAATATCTCAAAACAGGCGTGATCAATGCATCGAGATTTGCTTTTCCATGTGCTATTGGAATATTAAATTTACGAATACGTTGATACTGTACAGTTTCGAAGTACATATCAGTACTGAACCCCGTTTTCACGCCCTTGGTCTTTTGATAAACTTCCGGATGTAATGACTCTAAATTCAAATTACCAATGATTTGTAAGCTAAAGTCTGATTTATTTGCAAAGCCTTTATGGTCCATCCCCGCGAAAACGAGGTGCAGTACTGTACACCATTTCCATATCGAATTGAGGCTCAAATTTTGAACTTAAAAACAGCAAGAAAATCCAAGAGACGGACGAAATGCCCCGTCTGGGGGAGGATGTGAAGAACGGGAGAGTCGACAGGTCGCACAGACAAATAAATTATTTGAAATAATGACCGAAGGTGATGTGATGATACAGATCTCCAAAGTGATTGCGTGTTTTCCAAATTTGAACTGAGCTTTTCTCATTTTGAGCGGAGAGATTTTCAATTTGATCTGGAAATGGTGTATATGTGCTAATACTTGTAATGTACATGAGCAAGTACTTATACAGTATTAATACTACATATGTACGACGTGTCATTCTTCGGATATTTATATACATGAATTAGTGATGGACATGTGCAGCTTGATATATATGAGGTCCACACGTTTAAACAATATTATTGCAGGTATTGTTGAAGAGATGAGCTTGTCCTTAGAGCTAAAAACCTCGAGCTACGGGATCGATTGTTTTTAAGGCGGAAACTTCAAAGTTTAGATTCTTATCTGTTATAATAAGAGTCTATACAACAATTATTCTGGATTGCATCGTCCAACTTCAAAAACGCAGATTGATTTGAAAATCAGCGTTTTTAAGGGACTTCCGACACTCGAAACATCCATTGACTGGCAGCGAAGTAAGTATTAATACACGTAGCCTGAGCCACGAATATTGGTAAGAGTTATCGTCCTACTCCTTCGAGAAATTGATTATGAAACAGAGCTGAATCACAGGGTCGAGCACCAGCAAAACTTACTCCGGTCTGTCAATGAGAGACTGGAGAGGTAAACTTACATGTGTCTTATGCAAGTTTACAGGCGGCGAGTGTATCTTCCCCGCTGTATGGCCCCTGGCAGCCAGAAGTTCAATGCCCCCGTACCAGAGTGGTACAGTGGTACTGTACTATCAGTGGCACACTCCCCGAGATATCATGGGATTTGATTTTTCGTACAGTACTTCCGCTTTGCATTTCAGAAGGCTGGATCCTTTTCACCTCATATTGCAATCTGCTCCAGGCTCCCCAGCTTCTCACCCTAGCCAACGTTTGCCATACCAAGATATCAAAGATGCTCCGGACTAGCGTGATCCTCTTTGTTGCTCTTGCCATCATTAGTGGGACTTCAGCAACCTCGGATGTGATCCCGTCCCAGAAGCTCTCGGTAGACGGTGAGCACGCAATTGAACGTTCTGAAGCGAAAAGAAAGCTGAGAGGCCACGAGATCGACACTGTCAATGAAGAAAGGAGCGCTGCTGACCTCGCTGCCAAGCTTGACGACGTGTTATCGACTCTCAAGAAAGTGCAAAACAAAACCCTGACGCAAACCATCCAGCACTTGCAGGCGACGCACCTGTCTTGGGAGAAGCGTGAGGCCATCCAGCACCTTGTTACGCTTTCTACTGGTGACCGTAAAAAGGTTCTGAAATTGATTGTGGAAAACGCTGCCAACGCCAAGAATATGTGATTTTTAGCGCTGTGGCTGTAACTTGAATTGGGCTTAAAAAACACAAATGTCGTAGCAGTTTCCATTCTTTTCGTAGCACTATTTGATTAGTATAAGCCTTAATCTAAAATGGGGGAGCGGTTAAAGCAGGAAGTATGAATGTGGTTTGGTCATATATTGATGTCAACAAATTCGCGTGCCTCGGTTGCTTTGTGTGCAATGGAGAGGATGCCACTCATTATTTCACAGGGAGATCAGGTCACTTAAACTCAGGTCTTTTGGTTGCAATAACAAAACAAAACGTTGTGCCAGAAATGTATCGAGTACCGTGATTTACGGCCTTCCTCCTGTAAACAGTTATAAAATGCTGCAAATTATGGACTTTTTTTAAGCGGTCGTCTATCCAGGCGGCCATCCAGGTATTGTCCAGGTTGTAAAATAACCGATCCGTAATTTATAAATTACGGATCGAGTAATATCCATTATTATACATTTAATGTCCATGTTCCACTCTGTACTTATTTTAACCGATTTACCGGTATTTTTAATGCTATCGCAGCCACTCACTTTACTTTTGATCAGACGCGGACCATCTGACACCTTTGCCGCCTTACGCCCCCCCCCTTCCGCTCCGACATGTCGGATAACAAGTCTGAAGCACCCGCACCGGACCCTCCAGCGCCCGATTCACTGCCGATGCCGCCCTCGCCGGCCTCACAAACCGCTATTAGTCAGCCAGAGGTGCGTCGCGTAAGCAACTGTCTTTCCGTATGTCCGTGTTGCTAACTACGTGTCTTGAACAGGCTAGCTCAAGCGAAGAGGCGTCAAATGCTGCTCCTCCCGCTCCTACGAGCTCTGCAGGAAGCTCTGAGGACTCCGACGACTCAGGTATGGACAATGAGGAACGTCCGTGCAACGTCCAGCTTTCAGAGCGTCCTGTTCCCCGGAAGCCATTCACTCAAGTTGGAATGATTGGGCGATGTATTTGAAGAAGTACGCGTCTTCAACACGACAGATCATTCAAGCTTCCATGACTTTAAGCTGCGCCTTGCGGAACAAGCGTTTGGCAAAAACTGTGGCCGCACGAGAAGGTCTTGACGTACCATATGTGCCGACAGAATGGTCAACGTACCAGCGCACCTACATTTGTACCCACGGATGGAGGCCGAAGGATCGGAGTACAGGTGTGCGGCCGAAGCAGTTTGTTCGTGGCACTGGTTGTCCTTTTCGGTTCGTGGCTCAAGTTGTCGATGAGGAAGGCCAGTGGCTCCTCCGTGTTAAGAACAGTATTTACCACCACAACCACGTTGTTGGTACCGATCACTTCACACCATACGCCGAGAACCGAAAGGTGAAGGATTTGGAGACCAGGTCCACCATGCACGAAATGGTAAAACACGGCCGCAAGCGTGCTCGTATTTACGAATACCTGATCGATAGAGGGGAATGTCTTGTTAAGAAAGACGTGGATAACATTGTCCAGCGCTTCAAGAGCGAATTTCGAGGCGGACTAAACGACGACGATGCCTGCGCACAAGCACTTACCGAATTCGCAGCAGTGGATGGTAACGTGGTCCTGTGCTGAGCGACAACGCGTTTTATCTTCTGCCGACGAAGCTACTGAACAAGTGCGTCGCCGTCCTTCCTGCGATGAACACGAGAGAGATCGCAATCGAGGTCTTTACCCAGAGTCAGCCCACACAAGACGATAAAGCTGATACGCAATTGCCTGCACAAAACCTGGAGAACCATGGACAAAATGTGGAAATACTTCCGCTCGTGTTGCTGGCATCGAGAACGCGGTGACGGGACGACATACGAAGAGCATGAAAGAATATCTCAAGACAAAGGCGCAAGAGCTGGTGGGGGACACAGACCTCTTTTTGATCCCGGTTAACTTTGGAAATTCGCACTGGTGCGGGATTGCGGTAGATGTGAAGCGAACTCGAGTCCTTTATTACGACTCCATGAACCTGAAGATTTACAAGACTGTGCTGGATCGACTGTCCTGGGATCTGGCAGAAGCCTTGAGCGACAAATTCGAAGTTGTATGTATCAACGCGCCAATTCCGACGAACGGCCACAATTGTGGTTTCTACGTAATGCTACGATTATGGCGAATGGTGGACAGCAGCATTGGTCTGGATGTAACTCCAAACGGACTCACGATATTGCGCTTTCGCATCCTTCAGTTAGTTCTCCACGGCAGTTCTAACTAGCACATCTGATATGAGTCAATCCACGGATGGTGTTTGGTCAATACATGGACTCGATATATGGACTATAACACCAACGTTACATGTGCTCATGCCTAATGCACGGGCGATTTATGGATTATACATGTACTCAATACATGGACTACAAAAGTAGCATCGCTATTCAGCACAACTTTGTGCAGAAGAGGACTGAGCAGCGGTAATGAGTTGATTTCATTATAAAAATAAATTACGCAGTAGGTAATTTATGGACAATACTTGGAGTGGCCGCATGCTCAAAACATACACTCGGCGCATGGACAGGAGCATCGGCCTTTTTTAAGTCTGAAGGTAGATATTGATTACCATCTCTTTTGCGGTGTAATTAGCACAGCTTTGTCTGTCAGATTTTTGTGTCTGTCCTGAAAATATGCATGGCCTGCGTGACCGATTTTTCTCGACAGCACCCATTTAAATTAACTAGGGGGCCGTAGAGAAAAGCCCGACTTCGTGAAAGATTTCCTTTGCCTTCAGCATCAACCTGACTGCATCGATACAGTACCATCAAGCTGACGCGGTACCGTAATTTACGGTCTCAACGCGAGCTCACTGCAACACTGTAAAAACCTTCAAAATCGAGAAAAGAAAAAGTATGATGGCGAGTTTTGCTTTGTTAACCAGCTTGTCATCTACCTCAAAAGTCGTAATGATAGAGCGCCCATGGAGACTAATGCATCTTGTATATCGTGAGGTTCTAGCGCTACTATATTGATTACTACACATAAAGAAAACGTTAGCATAACTTACAACGTTCTCATTGTCAGTGCATCAAAATCACGACTCTTGTGGTAAGGGAGACGGAGCTTAAGTATTTCTAAATACGTGATCAGGTTCCTAGGTATCTGATAGGCTCTGTGAAACTGAAACGCATTTGAGCTAGCTGGCCAGTTTTCTCAAAAGAGAGCCCACATTTTTGTTTCAGCTACGCGTGGTTTAGGGCGCCTAACCAGACCTCGGACAATACAGTAACATATTAAATTGGCGCTCCGGCGTTACCATAATAATCACGGCAATACACAAGAAAACAATAATAAGTACGGTGCAATTATTGGCAATATCTTCATTACAGGCATTAATGAAGACACCATTTCAACTTACCTAAAGAAGACGTGTGACACTCCACATGTCCTTGTTGGCACGTAGAAAGGCGAGCATTTCGAAGTGGGCTGGAAGCGCGCTTCTGCGCTGCGGCGTAAGGACGTACTTGGTCTCGGAAAACAAGCGCTCACACGCATTCGATGTCGGCGGTACCTGCGCAGCTAGAGCAGTGTACACTGCACCACCTGCGCGTCTCTTCGGGCCGTTTTGCTGTATGATTTGCGCAGCGTAGTTTTCCTCGCACTGCTTGCGCTTGCGTCCAGTCTCGGATGGACGCTGCGTCGATTGCTGGTCCTCGAACCGCTTGAGTGCCGCGGTTTCGGCAGCCGACAGCTTCTCCCCAGCGCCGACCTTCACCAGACCATTTTCAAAAATGGGCGAATGGACGAATGGACAATTTTTTTAGTTGGTTTTTAGGTATTATCCCATAATAGGGTAGTCCAAAAGAACCGTATCAAAAAGAAGACGTACCTCGCCCATACTGGTCGTGTCGCTCTGCAGACGCTTGCACACACTGTCCAGCTTGGTCAAGTGCACCAACAAAGCGCACAATTTCTTGTGCTCGCTGGTAGTCTTCGACAGCTTCAATCTGGCGGACGTGCGCTCTGAGCTTGACGTGGCGCTTCAGCATGTCGTAGGTAGAAGGCCAGCGCGTCACATTGCGCGTCTTGGCGAGAAGGGGGGTGAGCTTGGGAAGTTGCGCGGCGTTATTTGGGTAACGTAACTGTTGCATGAGGTTGTTAACCTTTTGCAAGACAGTGATCCGTGTTCTGTTAAGAACTTTTAACCGCCAGGTTAAATTGATGGGATGCACAGCCGACCAATGGGACGCCGAGTTTGGTAGCGATACTGCGGTTGGTGTTGCAGTTATCAGCAACCATGAACACGATCATATCAACGGATTGTTATAAACGGCCAGCACGTTCCGGAAAAGATCAATGTGAGCGTTTGCATCTTGACTCCCCTCGTCGAGCGGCGAAATCGCCAGTAGCGAGCGCCGAAGCCGATCGCCGACGACATATAGCCCGAAAACCGCAACGTAGTGCAAGGTGCCATGCGTCCAGCCGTCGTACATTATACCGATCTCGTTTTCCATCTCTTCCTCGATTACAGAGCCCAGTTTTGACGCCACCGTAATCATGTCGGCCTTGACCGCCTTGGAGTTGGTTGCACTCCACTTGGCCATGGCCCTGATTTGCTCGTCGTCCACCTCGCTCAGCGGCATGCTCCTCTCGACAACCCACCGCAACCAGTGGTAGCGGTGGGATGTCTCCTCGGACACGAAGCCGAAAGCTTCAAACGGGCGCTCAGGATTGCGATGGTGGGTGTCGTACTGAGCACGAAAGTCCTCGTGGCGGCTCCTCAGGTGTGAGAGAGGCTAGCGTACCCTGTGCCGGGAAGATGCTTTCGATTCGTGCCGCAGAGCTTGCACCGATGAAGCCCTTCGCTTTGAGGCTCGAAGAAGAAGGCGCTGAGGTCATGGCTCGCCACCGTGGTTCAAGTTTTAAAGTGAGTAGTAAGTGTCTGCTGTATATAAACCGTCTTTGAACCGTCGTGCAGTTCCGGGTTTGCTTGAGCCGTTGAACCGAGAGTTGGTTGGAGTGATTTTTCTTCTGACCCATTATTGTATTGCAATAATTTCTGGAATATATTATTATACTGGATTCT